CAATAAAGCAAAACTGCACGTTTCAGAGTGGCCTTTTATTGTGGCCAGCCTAAGGCACACCTGTGCAATAATCATGCTGTCTAATCAGCATCTTGATATGCCACACCTGTGAGGTGGGATGGATTATCTCGGCAAAAGAGAAGTGCTCATTATCACAGATATTTTCAGATTTGTGAACAATATTTGAGAGAAATGGTTATTTTGTGTAGATAGAAAATGTTTTAGATCTTTGAGTTCATCTCATGAAAAATGGGAACAAAAACAAAAGTGTTGCATTTATATTTTTGTTCAGTGTAATTACTGGGAAATAATTGTAATAATCTAACACCCAATACATGTATAATATAAAATGTATATATGAACAGACCAGGTATCGTCAGTGTCCTCTGCAGCCTCGTCGTCAGCGTCCTGCTCGCCGTGTTCAGCCGAGCTATCGTTGGGGTTCTGGGAGTCCGCAGGGTTCTGACCCGGGACCACGTGGCCGTTGTTGTTGTTGGGATTAGACGGGTCGGACTGCTCCGATTTCTGCTCCCCTGGTAAGAGGTATAACAGGAGTATACATGAACACTGGTATAAACTTAAAAAACTATATTATATATTTTTTAATATGGTTTTACACAGAGAGAGGCAGGGTGCAGTATGTTTCTGACCTGAAGCATAGTGGACCATGTCTCTCTCTCTCTCTCTCTCTGTAAAGCCATATCAAAAATAGAAGTAGGTTTTTCACTTATGTCCTTTAATTTGTCAGAGGCTGATGAAAAAATCTAATATGATTTTCACCACAGATCCATTTGTGGAAGGATTGTGTTATGTCTCAAACTTTAAATGACTGCTTTGCTTTACATGGAGTCACTTCTCACTTACTTTTGGGAAGATGTTATTGGTTATTTGTGTTGTAGTGTTGCAGTTGAATTCTCATTAGCACATCACTGAGTGTTCTTGGCTGAGGGAAATTCTTCAACATTTGAGTCGCGCTGAGCTACTAATAGAGACCATCCTGACAACATTAGAGAGCAGAAGTGTGTGTGATTCTGTGTTTTCTCTGCTGAGTAATGTTTGGCACCTTGTGCGTCAGCGTTCTCCGTCTTCTTCCCAGAATCTTTCTTGAACATCCTTTTCAACTGCAGGCGACACACCATCACACGACACACAAACACACAGAGGGAGAGTTTGAAGATTATAAAAAATAAACTTGCACTTATACTGTAAAACAATACTGAAGTTCTCTGCACCAAATACCACAGAGGATTAAACATTCAAGGACAACTTTCTTAAAATACACCAGCACCGAGATCCCCCTCTGCTCATTCACTTCTTGTGTAAAACAACTGGTTTATTTGTTAATAAGCTCCCGAGGGGATAACAGGTGGCGTCAACCTACACTCTGACAACAAGTAACAAGCACTTCAGATACTGTAATAGAACAATCTATACTACATGACATATACATGTATCTATACTATGACATGTATAACTGAGTACATGTACAGTACTTAAGGATAAGTTTTAGATACTTGTATTTTCATTTTATGCTACTTAATACTTCTCTGGAATTTGGACCTTTGCACCTTCGGACTTATAATACATTATTATACAAGGAAACCATTATGATTTAGCTCATTCGAAACAATGTTAAACTTGATTTACTCCTTGGTTGAATTTGAAAGCTCCTTGGCAGTGTCTGAGTTACAAATAAGCCGCACCTTTACCATCAACATCAAACTAATGTAGGTTTTTTCCAATAATAATTATAATTTAAAAATGTGATTTGAAACTAGCCCTTTCTCTATAATGAGTAGTTTTGTAACTTTGAGTATATTTGAATGCCAATACCTTTGTTCATGTACTTAAGCACCATTCTGAATGTCGTACTTTTACCTGAGTATTTATACTTACCAAGTAAAATACCTTAACACTTCTTGCACAACAAGAGATACATGAACACATGTATCACATTTTATTGTCACCTTTCTGGCCACGGGGTCTTCAGGCAGGACAGGGGCACCCTCGGGTCCTTCACAGGTGATGCGGGTGGCGTCCCCCTTGGCGGGGAACACATACAGGGCCCGTTCTCCCAGCTGCCTCTGGGTGTGGTCGTAGTATCCTAGACGACGCACCCTTCACCAAACAACACAGTAACACCACAGTTTCAGTTTGTATCTGTTCTGCAGAATACATTAGTGTAAGAACAAACAGATGAATGTTCAGACTGACCGGCAGAGGCTCTCCTGTGGGATGGTGGAGGGGGGGGGATAGACGCTGTCTGAACCTTTGGGGGAGAAGCTCTTCGTGATCCACGTCACCTTCAGCTCGACCACTTTCACCTGCGGAGAGCAGCACGGAGAAGATTTAGAGAAACACAACAACATATGAACAATTATTCAAGTATATGACCTTAACACTATTGGCCTTGGGAAAAAAAAGTCATCTTCCTCTTACCTCTTCCACCACCACCCTGAACTTGCACTTCCTGCTGAGGACGGGTTTGACCCCCGACAGCCACTGAACGTTAGAGAAGACTTTGGCGGGGCCAATCAGCACCTGACCCGGGTAGAAACCATACGCCTCGTCGAAGAAAAGACCCTGAAGAAAACACACAAACAAGGATACATTAAATATAAAGAACTGAGCACATAACAATAATGATTTAACAGCGTTTAGATTGCAAAATGATGTATTATATTCAACAACTAGAACAAATTGATTTAAAATCAAATCCAAATCGTGAAATGTACTGCAAGACATACACTTTTTTGTGAAAATAATGAAAATGAAGAATTCAACTCCCATAACGCTTGGTAAAAAAGCATAACTGAGGGGAGGGGAAAGACAGACGCTTAATCTTATTTGGAAAGATAGTTTCATCTTTTCTACTTTAAAGTGGACCTATCATGCTATATTTGAAACATATATTGTAGGGCCATACCTATACAAAACATGTCTGAAGTTTTTTTTTCAAAATACCAAACAGATCACCCATTGTAGCCATGCCTCATACTGCTCAAACCCCTCTTTTGCAGCCCTGTTAGAGAAACGCGGATCTTGGGACCTTAGCTTGAAAAAAAAGAAAGAAGAGGAGGCGGAGCTAATGCCGGATCAGAATTTTACCGGACATAAAGTTAAATTCTGCTGTGATAAAACGCCATCCTCTTCTAAACCACGTCAAGGATTATTTCTGAAATAGTATGGAGCTCAAATGCTTTTTCTCTTGCAGGTTTATCACAAGGTGAGTTTTTTTTTTTTTTATTTCCTGCTTTTTAAACACATGCTCTACAGTACAGGTTAGCTCTGAGTGTTAGCGAGGCTTGCTAATGTAAACAAAGACGTCCAAAACACGTCAGGCATTGTTTCTGATAGTAACTTTCTGTGGGTCCACTGCCGATTTGACGTCAGATCGGATGGAATCTGCATCCGCTCGTTGTCCACCCGTTTTTA